ATGCATTAACTAAAAATGGATTTGTATTCATCTTCGGTTCTTGTTCAGCTGCTGTCAAACTTTTTGAAAACTTTTTATCCAATATTATTGGCTGCACAAAATCTTTCCTTTCTTCTTGAATCGGTCTATCACTAGTAATGGCATTAATAAGGGGTGGCGATGTGTTCTTTCTCATTTCATGATCTGTAAGACAGCTCCCCATGACAGACCTCTTGGCTGACCAACCCATTGTTTCTCCTCGATCTCTTATTTGCTGAATTTCGATAGGACGGTTTATGAGTCTCGGAGAAATGCTATACGGATCCAATTCGTACACTGCCGGATCAATAGGACCTAGACCATCATTATACGGATCCACTTCGTACACTGCCGGATCAATAGGACCTAGACCATCATTATACGGATCCACTTCGTACACTGCCGGATCAATAGGACCTAGACCATCACCATACGGATCCACTTCGTACACTGCCGGATCAATAGGACCTAGACCATCACCATACGGATCCACTTCGTACACTGCTGGATCAATAGGACCTAGACCATCACCATACGGATCCTCTTTCATATTTTTTTTATAAATATGTAAACTTTTCTTAGTCTTTCGTGGATTAATTGCTGGAAGAAGGTGGCACACCCTAGATTGACATCCCCGTTTCTCACATCTGAAGCAGCTTCCTTCTTCCCGAAGCTTAGCTAGCTGATCTTCTGATTTCCATGTTGCCCTAAGAAAATTGTTTTCCTCCATAGAAATGTTGCAATGATCCCACTTCATCTTTGCAAAGTTGATTGACTGCAATTCTGACTGACTGATTGACTGCAATTCTGACTGACTGACTGACTGACTGACTGACTGACTGACTGACTGACTGACTGACTGACTGACTGACTGACTGACTGACTGACTGACTGACTGCGATTCTGACTGACTGACTGCGATTCTGACTGACTGACTGCGATTCTGACTGCGATTCTGACTGACTGACTGACTGACTGACTGCGGTTCTGAAGTTTGTGGAGAGAATTATAATATGTCACGGTTTGATAACAAAATGCATGGGCAATCTTGTAGGTACAGTATATTAATTATAATTCTCTAGAGAGAGAATTCTAACAGCTAGTGACTACAAATATATATAATCCAGAATACTCCTCCTTCCATAGGATTCCCTCCATGACCAGAATTGTTTGGATTCTTCGACAACTTCCAAGAAGATTCTGGATTACACCATTGATCTCATTGCCTGCGCTAGCTAGCGTAGGCTACAGGGATAATTAGGCTTAACAGCCGTTACACTAATAGACCTGTATGTGAGGCGGAATAAAGCTGAGAAGGAAGCACGCGCAATCAACCGTGCGTTACATATTTCTGGTATTTTGTACTATAATTAGTTGCGCCTACTTTTACCTCTATACCATATTAGCGCTCATCATGTTTTTACCTTGTGTTTAAAATTCGATAACACTGTCTGTTTGTAAGACGGGATGATGAGATTAAGTGATCTGGACTATGGAAACTGACTGAAGGAAGACGAGCGAACTTGTATTTAAACAGAAGTGAGATCATGGAAGATAGGACAATCAATCATTTTCTTCTTTCCCTTCTCTTTGAGAAAACATCGAAGTTCCAATCCTGTGACACAACCTGTGCCTTCTCTGACAGTTCTTCTTCGGGCCCTGGACAATCAGCCTGGGAATATGTAGTACACCAAGGAAGCAAGCTAGCTTGGGGCAGTTCCGGTCCACTTCCCGGAGCAGAGCTATTCGACACTGAGATTGTAGGCGCCACGAAAGCCTTGGAAGCTGCACCAACGATGGGAGAAGACCTACCGATTCGCATTCTTCTGGACAATCAAGCGGCCTCTTGGGTGCCCGAAAGAGGAAGATCTAGTTCCTCGCAGGCAGCTGTGGACAAGTTTTCACTGCTGAGACAAAACAAACGTGTGGAAATACGCTGGAGACCTGATCATGTGGGGATCCAAGGCAATGAAGAGGCTGATGAACTGGCAAAGTCGGCCTTGAGATCCCTCACCAACTGGTCACTAACCACAGTTTTACTCAGTGGAGAATCTCAAAATCTCACCTTTGCGGCACTATGGAGACGAGTTAAAATGCGGGCTCAAGAACTCGTGAAAGAGTGGTGGCAGAAGTATCGACCAAAGCGATATAAAGATCTGGACCTATTCATGCGTTGCAAAAGACCACCGGAACTAGCTTTACCAAGATGGGCGAACAACCGTCTAATTGCGGCAAGAACAGGCCACGGGGACTACGCCGACTACCATCGACGTTTTAACCCCGAACATGAAGATCTGAAATGTGTTTGCTGCCGAGGGAAAAGGCCCAGACATTTTTCAGAGTGCCGATCTGCTTTGCAACGTTGGAGAAGCTGTGAGAAATCGGCCCCGCCTGGAGCCAAGGAGATGATTGAGGAGAAGGGATGGCAGAAGTTTTTTCAATTCTTAAATACAAGCAGATGTTACAGTCTACCGAAGAATGAACAGGGTGGGAGGTGACCACGCTGAGATTGTTTCTCACTCGAGAGGAGATGGGTGTGGAAGATAGGGATGCAGCGCAGGGCATTGCGACTCAGGCATTTATTGTTCCTTTTTATATATTTTGGAGCTTCTGGCTTTAATGCCGGTCATGTAGGTGGCAATGAGCTCTCAGAGCCCATCTACCCGTGTCATGTCTAAATAGATGCTAGGTTCGTCCTGTCACGTTAAATATTTCAAATTCAAATTCAAATGCATATGTGGGGATTATGGAGCAAACTAGAACTCGATAAAATAGAGATAATGGAATCAAATAGAGACTGATTATTCGGATTAGGTCCTGGTCAACGATGTCTAGCCTAATTGTGCTATGTTGCAGGATACTGTTACAATTATTCATGGGTTCATCATCAGGGTTGTGAGTAGTTTCGGCTTTGGTGTGGGTTGTTAGATTGATACCTAAGCGTGTCGTATAGTAGTCAGACATGCGACTCGAGTAGCATATGCACGATAAACCTCAACCCCAAAATGATGATACGAATCAAGTTTTATATGCTACGTCCTGTATGGCTAGCGTGGTTGGAATATGGGAAATTTACCTGTAGATAAATAAAGACGTTGTAGCCCTCTGATAGTTGGGACAAGTCTTCTACAGTATTATATCGGAATCAATATTAGCCTCTCATTCAGCAATCTCATGAATTATTTCCAATGTCTGCGATAACAGACATACATATACAATGTCGACAACAACTTTAAAGTCGATAACTGATGGACTGAGGGAGAACGAGATGGTTATGTCTCGTACGAGAAAAATGTTATTACAAAGGAATTTTTTAGCACTAGGCTGTGAACAACACTGTAAGTCTGGAGCAAAATATCAGGAGTTCTCAACCTCCGGTCATTCTCTCGACCATTTATCCTTTATACGAGAATACAGATACAAGTCTTACACATCACGAGAACACACGCGATAGCGATTAACGAGACCTACTGTGAGCATCACTTCCCCAAGAGTATCCATCTTCCTCCTCCTATACAGCCTAGTTAATATAACAGATTTCCTGTTGCGTCCTACAGTCTGATGTAAGTTGACTGTCTACTTTCTCAATTGAAGCCTCCAAATGATGATGATATTTTCATTGTGACCGGGTATCACTGCAGCACCCAGAGGGCATGGCACGGGTAGCACAGATCTACATGACTCTTCGCTATCTACATCGTTGTTTCGTAGAAACTCAGAAACGCAAAACTAAGATAAATAAACACATCACTTGGAAGGTGCTAGTGCCCTTGACTACACCTTAATCCTCGTACCACACCGAACGGTCCCAAGAAGCACTACAGTTGATGATGGTAAAACACGAAGTAATACAAATTGGATGCCGTCACGAAGTCGGTAAATAAAGTCAATTAACTGGTCTCTCGAAGTACACATGACGTTTTCTCTCTCCTTCTTCCCTTTCTTCCTGCTTAATTTCTATGTTTTTTATAATGTATCCTTTATGAAGCGCAGTTACACTATAGTGCCCTCCATATAACCCAATTCCATCAGCTTTCTCGAACTCAAGAAAGGCATGACCTGTTTCCTTCCTTCAGCAACATTTCGACCGCCTTTGTCATCTGGAATTGCTCTATCCAACCATGATTTAGGATCCACTGTGTTATCCTTTTGATATCTCCAATATTGTTTAGCATAGCTTCGTAGGACTGATCTTTTGCTTGTCTCCAGATCTCTCCTCTTCCATTTGACCATCGAGGGCAGGACATAATCATGTGCTTGGGGTTCTGTGATTGGTAGCTACATGAACAGCTTGGACTGTAGACTCCGGGTACTTTTATTCTGTATAAATACGAGTTGAGCCCCATGTGCTCACTTCGTTTTTGAATCGCTAGACTGCTTTGGGCCCTTATCAGGTTTCGGTGGAGTAGGAATGGCGATTCCTGGAGACTTATTTTCCATCGATCTGACTTTTGTTTCTGATAGAACTTGACTGCTCTCCAGGTTTCGGGGTCGGCGATTGCTCTATGTCGAGGTAATTTGAGCCGCCTTTGATTTTTCCAGGATTTAGCCCATTCTTGGTATGCTGCAGCACCTCAGTATCGTTGCTCAGTAGTATCCTTGCGGCGTAAGCCCCCTTGATATGTTGTTAAGCCTTGTAATTCAGGTCTGCCAGTCGGATAGATTTTCCTCCTTAACTCGCACACGCACTGCCGTTTTACTCTTGGGCGGTGCAACGGCCGAAGAAGGGTAGAGACTGAAAGTTATCGATTTTGCATATATCTGTTTGCTTTCCATTTCGATTCGGGTGCGACACTTCTTGGCTATCCCAGATATGGATGGAATACTGAGTTTTCTCACCGGCACCGTTGGAAGTTACTGAATCCCTCTGTAACGGCCGGCCACAATTCATACGTAGAGTTGAATTTTAAATTCGCGTCATTAATTTTTCACTCAAATGCTTGAATTACTGTTGGAGTCGCCCTGCATTTCAAAACGCGCTAATGCTTACCGTATACGCGTGTGAAGATGTCCACCAATGGCTCTACAACAGGCTCAATAGGTTATTCACTATGCCACCCTGGAGCCAACCATCAGACCATCCTCTGAAGGCCCTAACGGCAATATTCTTCTGCTGGAAAGTATTACTCTTAATTGTTGCATCAAGCAGTCCGGGTCCAGGGTACGACACGTCCACCAATATTAGCATAAACGCACAAGAGAATAAGCTTCCTTTGCCCTTCCGGCACATTGTAGAAAAGTTATTACGCTGGGATGCGGTCTATTATTCTGTCATCTCCAGTCGTGGCTATCTTTTCGAGCAAGAATGGGCATTTGGTTGGGGCTGGACTAGACTAATAGCTCTCTGGACTGCAGGTCAGACTACATTCGCACGCTTTCTGATGATTAGGTGGAATCTCATTTAAATAGGACTTCAAAGTTTTGGATTTCCAAACTACGACGGAATAGAAAGTTTGGTGGCCATTGTTTTGGCTCATGCATCCCATTATTTATCAGTAATAGAACTCTTCTATCTCACGTTGATAATCTTCCCCAAAGAAAGTTTAACATTTGCTATTACGTCAGCCACATTATACATCTTTTCACCTGCTGGTATCTTTCTATCAGCACCATACGCTGAAAGCTCATGCGCATTGCTAAGCTTTGCTGGGAGTATAGTCTTCCTCAAATCATTCCGTCGGACCAAAAACACTCGGTCAGATGCATACCTTCTCCTGTCTGGCTTACTCTTTGGAATATCAACCACATTTCGCAGTAACGGAATCCTAAATGGCTTGCTCTTGTTAGAAGAGGCTTTCCGGTCTCTTTGGAATTTCCGCAACGGATTTGAACTTTTCAAAATCCGGCGCCTCTTTGCTACAATATTGGGCGGCTTTTTTGTGGCGGCTGGGTTCCTCCTACCTCAATATCTTGCATATCGTGAGTACTGCATAAAGAATATTCCAGTCCAGAGACCGTGGTGTACTCAGGCTATTCCTAGTATCTATACCTTTGTTCAGAGCCATTATTGGTATGTTTAAACTGGAACTTAGTTGACATCTTCTAATTATTCATATAGGGATGTCGGACTTTTTCGCTACTGGAAATTTTCAAACCTGCCACTTTTTATTCTTGCAACACCTATTCTGATCCTGATGATCGTTTCTGGGACGTGGGCTGCTGCTCCTCTCCCTAGCATGATTAAAAATCAGAGAGGATACTGCAAAATAGACGGGGCAAGCCAGACTCTACGGAATCTAGCTTTCTCGCAAATACTACTGGCTTTTTTGACCCTTACTACTGCTCATGTACAGATTATAAACAGAATATCATCTTCGCATCCAGTTTGGATATGGTTTACCGCAGCATGTTTGCAAGACGGAAAGGGAAAATTACATAAGTATATAATACGTTTTATCGTCATATACGGGCTGGTCCAGGCTGGCCTGTACAGTTCATTCCTACCTCCAGCATAGATTTCGAATTCAGTTTTCTTTAAAAGTCAATCTTTCTCGAAAACACATGAATTTTCAGTAATATAGTAAGCTGACGCAAAATCTTGCTCTTGAGCGGTAATTGAAAGTGGACAAGCTACACCGTACCTTATGAGTTAAGTGAAATATTAAACCATGCACCCCAAGTATCTTTTCATCCAGTTTTTTGGTTGTGCAGCATGATAATATTATGAGCACCTACGGATTGAATCTCTACTTTGGAAAGATGCTATATGTGTCCGTAGAATACCAACGCCGATATCGAGAAAACTTTTAAAGAGCGCTTGTGTTTAATTGAGTTATTTCCATTCCTTGTTGCCGGGTAATACATCTCAAAATATACATGTCCTGGATATCCATATCATAGTTCCTACACTATCCAATACATTCCATTCCATTCTAAATTCATGATACCCCAGTTATAGGTTGCCCCGAAGTCAATGTCCTTGGACTTGCATGAAATACTAGCTTGTCTAAATCTGTTTTGAGCTGGGATTTCTTGGCAGATTATAACAAGTATCGCCTTCAACTTGATTTGATTTCATTTGGCTCTTTTAGGGACTCTATGGACTCATGCAGGTATATTTAGCTACAATATTCACAGAGGAAACCAATTCGGAGAGCGAGAGGTTTGCTGATTGTACTATTTGAGTCTTAGACTATCTAGCACATTGGGCTCCTCTCTAACGCAGGCCACACCTTGTACAGTGCTCCTTGCCTCTATTGTTCCTTGAAAGATCATTGATATGTTGCCCGTGATGAATAGCCACTCAGCTCAGTACTTACTCTTGGAATCTTCTACCCAAAAATAATATCAATGGTAGCAACGGAAACTGCGTGCGCGGGAAAAAGTCTCCAAAATCCTGCAGCCCCAGCCAAGCGAGACCTAGAAACAAATTGTCATAGCTAAGTAGCTGAATACATTAAGAACTTTGAAAAAAAATAAAAAGAGGCCTAGACACCAGGACAGTGTAAGGTGTGCATATTCATCTACATCTCCCTTCTTTACAACAGTCGTGGCCAATCTGATCCATTCCATCATCGCCGTATCGGGTGCTGGGTACGCTCCGGAAACTCATCGGATGGCCTCTCCTCTATGTTCAAGCGTTGGTGACAGGAACGGCTTCGACTCTACCATCTGATCTGATCGTGGTTAGCTTCATGATAATGATGATGGGGAGATGTGTTGAGAGATGAAGACGATACAGACTGCGAAGGCGATTGGAAATCCTGATCGAAGTGAGGACTTTGTCACTCACTCTCGGCTCTACAGGCTTTACAGTGAGAGCTGGAGGCTCAGAGGTGATACGGCTGACAGTCGTCGGGTTTCATCCACCTGATGCTAGTTTTACTTGGCGAGGGAATTGCATCATTGAAACTCTTTTTTTAATTCATTTTATTGTCCTGTCTGAGTCTAGGACTTCATAGGACATGCAGGTCCTCTCTACCTACAGGCCAAGCATACCTATGCCTCCCATACAGCTCCCCTCAAACAGTACCGCCCCTAACAAGTCCTCATTTGTTCATACACTTAGAGGGGCCCTTTGCCAACTTCGCAGTGGTACTTGCAAATGAAATCCGAGGCATGAGTACTCTTCTTATAAATTGAGTCATAGCTAGATAGCTGCATACGCAATTAAAATCTGATGCAAAAAAAATAACCCTTTGCCATTCATCATCTCCCTTCTCCAGCTAACGAAACGATGGCCATTTGCGGGTGTATGGCAGTCGGGAAAAAATCGCAAGAACCATTGGGTGGGAGGCTCTCCCAATACCGACATTAGGACTAAGTTCGAAGACAAAGTGAACCTTCTAAAGCGTTGGAAGAGACCGGCCAGCTGGGCGCTGCAGACTTGTTTTTTTGTTTGTAATTTAAAGGTCCTGAGCTACTGCTCCCGGTCCGCTATGGGTACAAGACCAGTGGAGCGGGAAGGGATCCCTATGTTCTTTACCACAGCCCAACCCATTCCAACTGCGTAAAACCACTACCTAAATTGTAGCCGGTTTAAAACAAAACAAATTCTAACAGTCAAAATTAATAAACAAAGGAAATTCCAATATAACGGTCTAGCATCAGCGCTCCTCACCCTGACTCCTTCCCTTTCACGGTTTCCACCATAAATATTATTCTTCGTCCATGCTGAGAGCTGTGGACAAGGTCGCAGGTTGGCTTTTGAAGTAGCCAGTTTCCTGCGCAAACGTTGAAAATTCTTTGAGGCATTTGGGCCTTACAAGAATTTTAAGAAATTGTTGGTATGGGGTAGTTCCCCTTAGTTGTCGGGTATGACGAGTGTAAAGTCTGCAATGCATGAAATGCGTTGCTGTTGTCTCCTCTCCGCACGAATACTTCATGTTCGCGTTTGCGTTGTTGAAACGTCTGTAGTACGCGGCAAAATTTCCGTGACCGGTACGAGCCGCGATGACTTCAAACAGAAGTCGTCTTTTTTTTTTTTTTTTTTGCATCAGATTTTAATTGCGTATGCAGCTATCTAGCTATGACACAATATCAAAGAAAAGTACAGAATAGATGATTCAACGTAAAGGAAGAGCACTCATGCCTCAGATTTCATTTGCAAGTACCACTGCGAAGTTATGGTGGCTTTTTCTTCACCCCAAGTCAACCCTCATCCGTGAATACCCACCCAGGGGAACATCTCAAAAACCCTGAGTTATCCAGACATGCCTTCATCATCTTTCAACTATTCTCCGCGCGATATGTGATCTGAGGTGTCTCTTTCCCAAGTGGAGTAGGTGCCCAGGCTACTCAAACCATACCAGAGAACACTACCAGGAGGCGGACCACGTCACCTTCCATCGCTGGCTTGTTTTTATAGTGTCAGCTGCACTCTCACAAGCGAAGTCTTGGCGCGCACAAAGCTCAATTCGTAAAACTGCTTGCCAAAATTCGGAATTTCACTCCCTTCAAGGTTATATCCTTCCTTTGCATCATCTTGTAAACTTGTCCTGATCCCTCTCACGTCCATCCCAAAGAACTGTCTCCCAGATTTGTGCGCCACGCTTTGCTTCCTCCGTCGGGTATAAATATCGGCGTGGGCGTGTATTTGGTGGTCAACTGAGACCAGAGAAGGTCGAAGAGAGGTGTGGTCATTGGGATGAGGATGTACTAGGTCGTACTTGTAGACTTGATAAGACTCAGGTAGGCGTCAAACTCGTTGGGAGCGGAAAAACGACGTGGTGGAGTAATTTTAAATTTTGCCTCGTGGGCCAACTTCTTTGATTTTGCGAAATTTGACTAAACTTGGCTCTGGGAGAATATTTCACTCCCAGGTTCGTAGAGGACACCGCGTACAGGTGTTCAGTCTTGCCCTCCAAAACAGAAGTCGTCGTGGAAGTGATAGTTCCGATGGCTTTTTTCGGCGCATCATCAAGTCTAGGTCGCGGTATCTGGGCGGGCATGATTCGTCCCAGAATTGGTCTAGCAGCATCTGTCTCTTCTGATTCATAAGCCGGTAGAGGTCTGCACTGCTGATGTTTTGCGGCTCCTCATCTGGGATGGGGAGACTGCGGAGCTTGCTCTGAGTTGCAGCATCGCTGCAGACTTGTTTTATTTGTTTTACTATATTTGGTCCTAAGCTAACGCTATCTTTTCCACATTGGGTCAAGGATCGGTGGAGCCGGCAGGGTTCTCTGTAATCTTTCCGACAGTCTAACTCGTTCCAACCTCTTGAATCTCCGCCAAAGTTGCAGGCGATTAAACCGAAACGAAAAATCACAAATAATCAAAACAACTCCGAAAAAAACCAGAAGATTCCTTCACATTGTGTTGCGGTTATGAGCGATGCGGAAGCTATACTGCGGAGTGATGAGGAATGGTTGATGTGATTGATTTGGGTGACAGTGAATATACTTGTATGATACGATGCTGTAAGGGTATGAACAGAAAGTAAAAGAATAAACCTGTGTCCATTAACTGTGGGTACACCTAAGAGAATATATACACGCTCGCTTAACCATTACACTAGTGACACCGTCCTGTGGCCTAAGGCCCTGCGCAATGCCCTAACCCCGACTACCAAGTTATTGCATATCGTAACACATTGGACCCAAGCAATGTGATCCTCACACATTTCCTCGTCCGTCACACCTTCCAAATGTCAAATTTGCCCAACTCCGCTGAAAACAAAAGATGGGTTAGCAGGCACCTTTGGTCCAGCCAGTATCCTGTTATGGGTTAGTAGATGTCCCTTCCGGGACATTGTCGAGGTTGCTGTATCCTTAAGCTTCTTTTTCAGATTCCAACACTCCAAAACCTGTTGCATCGGCCATCGAGACATCCTTCGCCACGGCGATGATCACCTCTTCGACTTTTTTCGCTGCTGCACGAGCTCGTGCCACCTTCACGAACCCCCCTTGCTGGATGTGACGGATCCGCTCGAGCTGCTCTTTTGACACCGGTCCCCCATAGTTGCGACACTTGGTCAGGGCCTTGCACTCGTCTTCCGAGTGCATATTTGATCCGCAATTCCAGCAGGCTGGAGCACGGGAGCAACAACGGGTGACGTGGAAGCCCAAACAGCGTTTGCACTGTTCAATTTTTCGACGAGGCTTTAGAATGGTAGCCCCTCTAGACTCGCCGAGAATACGGAAGCCCGCGCGAACAGGGCTTTCCAATTTCTGTACGGCGCTCCAGGACGGCATGTCCCGTGCGGTAGCACCTGGGTTGGAAACTGCTGCGTTTTCCTGTATATCTCATGTATGATCCTTTCCGCATCGGTCGAATAGATACCGCCGACCGCTCTCATAGTCACTGGAACGTTCGCGATCCGAAAGGCGACAAGGTTGGAGGCTTCCTCAAACTTGGCGTTGAATTCCGCCAACTTCGGTGTAGCCTCTAGGAGCTCTTCCCTTATTTCCTCATTCCCTGTCAGAATAGCAAAGCCGGTTCTGACACGGTGTATAGAGCAGGCGTCACTCAAGGTGCACTCCAGCCTGATCTGTAGTTGTTGCCTTATTCCGAGAGT